TTTGTCCTTTTCCCGAGAGGCCTGGAGAGAAGCCCCATGTCTGATAAAATCACCTAGTGCTAGATGTTTCACAAGGATTGCTGCACAGCCGCGGGATGAGGATGGGGCCCTTAGCAGGGCAAACCTGGATGCAGTAGAACGTACTGGGCATGTGGTCAGGGAACAATATCCTGTATTTTCTGATTAAGCAGTTTTTCTTTACACTTACCCATTTCACTTCCATTCAGCCCTGGGCAATGCATCACCCCAGCTGCACTGATTTGTCACCCTGAGATGGGACATTTATGTAGCAACGTTTGTGCTTAGATCAAAGGTCACCAACTATATTTCCTTATAGATGGTGTCAGGTAAAAAGCAGAGTTGGATTGATTTCTGACAGAGTAACAGGCAGATATCTGGATTTACAACATCGGCTGCCTGGGCATGTAATGAAAGGTGAGATAATGCAGAGCCCCAAAAGGGAGGAGTCTAGGAGCAGGCAGGTGACCTGAAGGAAGCAAGTTACACAAGCTGAAGCAGCTTGTTGGTGTTTAAGAAACTGCTCCCTCCAGCCTGGGGAAGGAGGCAGGGTGGGTGCCAGCAGCCCTGGGGCCTGCACCAGGACTCTCACAGGGAATTCCGGGATGGGACTGAAGGTTCTCTCTGCTCCTGGCTGGGACTGTTTTGTAGCACAGCAACCAGTTACATTTTCCAGTGCCTCAAGCAGTGCTCCAGACTGGAGTTGTTAACTTCATGCTTCATGTGTGCATCAAATTTCAGGTCAGGCTGGAGAAACATACAGAACTTCAATTTCTTTGCAGAAGGGGCTGTTGGGCGTTGGAATGGGCTGCCCAGGGCAGGGATCTGGTGGAGTTGGGAACCGTCAGGGTGAGGTTCATGGTGGGACTGGAGGAGCTTCAAGGGCTTTTTCAACCAAGATGATTCTGGGATTCTGTGAACTTAAAACTTTTTGAACTGCCCGTCAGCCAGGACAGAGCCACAGTCTGACCCATAGCAGAGCTGCTTTAGCAGTCTTAACACCACAGAAAATTATCAGGGATCACTCTGCTATACCCAGCATGCCCCAGGTCTGACAGGGAAACATTCTGGGATATTCCAGGCATCCTTCAGTTGTACAGGGGAAGAAAAACCAAGCCAGCCCCTCATTTCTTTTGTATGGCTGAATACAGTCTAGAGTAGAACTCTGGGAGGCAGAGTGTTCCTTGCTGTGCAGAGACACCTTCCATGCACCGAGGGGGCTCATTATCACAGCTCCCTAAAACTTGGTCCTTTGACTGCTCCCTCGGTAGGGGAAAACGGATCTGGGAGGCACCAGTTCCTCTTTCCCTCTCGGCTTTCCCCACACTCAGCAAAGCGTAACTGGAGTGACACAAACGGCAACTCGTCCGTTACTTCCCACATTCCTCTTCCCTCAGCTTTAGGGCTTACTGTTGGGGGCTGGGGCGGGCCCAGAGGATGCGGCTCCTCAAGCCCATCCCCACCACCCGAAGATAGACGCTCGGCCCCTGCTGCTCACTCCCATGTCACAGCAGGCACCGAAGAGTCCTGCCAGAAACAAGGGCTGGGGAAGGCCAGGCTGGAGTTGCCCGGCTGCAGGGCCTATTGCTAATAAAAACGGGCACTTCCTCTTTGGGTGATTTTCTGAATGCTGCAGGAAGAGCTGCCAGCCACCACTTCAGTTTCCAAAACACACATCCACCACAGTAAAATGCAATCTATTTTATTGGTTAATTATATACAGGAGATTTTTGATATTCACAGTAATATTAGACAAGTTACCTCCACAAAGAGCAAGAGTAAAACCAAAAAAGACAGTCCACTGTAAACAAACTAGAAATCCTGCTGGATTTGGTGGGACTGGCTCCAGACAAGTTGAAAAGGCACTCAAAGAAAAACAACAAAAGCCAGCTGATGAACACAGCCCGGATGCTTTTTGTACTTCTTCCAAGATGATAATCCGGAAGCAAAGCACGTGGAGACCAAACATCAGGGTACAGAGACGCCAGACATCACATTCCAAGCATGCTACATGTGTGTTGACATACAAATTTAATTTCCTCAAGTCTCATAATCATTAGAGTCCTCACCTCCCTCCAAGCATTACTTAATGCAAGTTTAGTGTTATCGGGACAACTTTAAATACAGCCAGCAGAATGGCTGGGACTGCACCAAAAGCGGTCAGTAGGGAGGCCAGGTTTTGCTCAGACTCTGGTCTGGTAAAGCAAACAGCAGCCTGGGCCAAGAACACAGCAGTTGGTGGCATCTGGTGGACTAGGGGGAGGCTGGGACACAGGGAGGTAGGTGGCTTCTCTGGATTGTCAACATTGAACCAAAAGCATGGCCAAAGCTGGCAGGGAGACAGGGACTGGAAATGTCCCTTTCTCAGTTGTGCCTTGCTGTCTCAGCGAGCTCAGAGGCAGAGAGGATACAGCCCTCCATCTTCTCTCCCTAACCACCTTCCCAGCCTGGGCTCCCATTTCTAACTCAGGTACTGCCCAGTGCTCAAACCATCATTCTTACAGGCTGATGGAAGGCTGCTGGGGCACTCGCTAGACACTTGGGAGACTTCTCCCCAGGCTCCTGCTCCCCAGGTGACCACTGCTAGGTCATCGTCACTTCCCTCTCTGCGCACAGGAGAAAGCTGTGTGCCCTCTCCTGTGGGAGCACAGGCAGGAGATGACTCTTTGAAAAGAGAGGTACTCATCCTTGGGGGAAAACAATTTCAAGAGCACAGATTAAGAATGAGGCCGAAAAGCTAAAAAGAGAACCAAATTTATATTGTAAACGCCACAGCTATTGCCTAATCTCCAAGTCATCCATCTCTGATCACTTGAATCAGAGAATTCAAGTCTGGTCACTTGAATACAAAGAATGGTGGCTAAAAGGTGACAGCAAGAGGGTCAGGCCAAGCAGAGGTTCTATTTGAGAGAGACACAGCAAGAGGTATATGAAGTAATTACTAACAACTCCAGCTCACTCAAGAGAAACTGACCAAAGAGGTCTTGGCAACATCAGCTCTGAACTCCTTCAGGAATCAAGCCCCTGCAGTGTAAAACTGCCTCAATTTTCTCTGACAAACACCGAAATTTCCTCACAGCTCTTTTGCAGGGATTGGAGGGGTTTGTTTTCCATTCTCATAGAGAGGCATGATTGTTTAGAGGGCACAGAAGATTTTTACCTTTGTGACAGATACAGAGAGAGGGCATCTGTATCTCCTTCTGCAGTCTGCTACAAACATAACTCCCTTCAAAGACCAGACCGGGGAAGAGCTTTTCCTGTCTCTCATCAGGAGGTGGTCGGAATTTTTCCATGAAAATAACTTTGCCTCCTTCACCCAGATGCAAATTTGTTACAGAAAAAGTCTCTTTAGAAACCTAAGCCTGCTTTTAACTCCTCTCCTTTTATTCTGTATAGAGAACAAATAGACTGCCCAAAGAAAACAAAGTGTCCAAATAAATAGCTGGCATCAACCAGCTATTGATGGTGCAATTCAAGATCGTGGTAGTGGCGGTAACAGATTTCCTGCTGCCTTTCAAAGAGGGTGGGAGGCTGAGGATGGGCTCTGTGCTGATGCGGTAGCATCAGCACAGTGAAGAACAACATACACAGGGATGGGCCTCGCCCTGAAAGACTTCTAGGCTAAAGAAATGTAATTCCTCTTCAAAGATCAGCTTTCCTTACACAGCTACTGCTAACAGTGTGACTAGTAGCATCTTCAGAGAAAAAACTGCTACTGCATGTGTCTGGATACATTCCTCTCAAAAGGATTCCCTGTTCGCATGGCACATCCCAGACATCAGTCCCAGCCTGAAAATGGTGTCTCTTTTTCAGTGCCCTTCTGAAAAATCCCACCATCTTCCCTTTCACCCAGTTACAGGCACAAATTGGGCATCCCAGTGGAGAGAATGAAGACTTTGCACCATACTCTGCACAACATTCCCTACAACAAGAAGTAGCTTAAGAATGAAGTGCTAAACCAAAACTGCTCCCTAGAAAACCCAAAGCATGTTCTGGGCATCACACACGCAGGAAGCTGCTTTTGCCTGTGTCACAACCTGCCCTGCCCGTGAAACGCGCTGAGCTCACAGCACCGAACAAGTTCTTTACTGTGCTACAACACTTGCCCACCACTGGCACTGATAACTCGTACACCTCCAAGCTAACATGGTCACAGCATGATTATGAAGACAAAGAGGAGTCATCTGGGTCAGGAATACTTTATCAAACTGCTCCAAATTTCACTGGAGAAGAGACCAAAGACTACAGTCCTATCTTTTCTTTCTTATCTTCCCCAAATCTCTCCTTTAAGGAACAGGTTGTTTTACTTCCTTCATCTCAATCAAGGAATTTGACATCTCAATCTTCAGACATTTTAACCTTTAGTGTCATGAAATCATTATTTAGCTCTTGCCTCATTTACAGAACTAGTTTTAGCGAACCAGCAGTCTAGCTCTAGATCCATCCAGGTGTAATTCGACATGAAGTAAATAAGGGTTCAATGGTTTATTTAAAATCTTTTTGCCCTGTAAGTAGACAATTGTTGTCCTGCATTTACTCTGTATATTTCCGTGATTGGGAAGTGAGAGCAGCCAAACCCAAATGTTGTCATTTGAAGCCAAGTAAAGCTGCTGGATACATCAGAAGATTAACAACACTCCTTGTACTCAGATGGGATTGGAGGACAGATTCATCTAGGCCCCCTGAAGCACACGAGTCACATACTTATGTCAAAGTACTCCCTTCCAGGACACACCTGAGTGTGTCTAATGTGCAGCACCAAATCTGCCTCAGAGGCTGAGTCCTTCTGCATCAGAAGGTGTCATTGGCCCCAAAAGCCACAATGCTAGGGAGATCTCCAGATCTCCTCCCCAGCATTATGTACATATTGAAAAAAAGTAAAATTAAAATAGTCATTTGCACACGTAGGCTCCATTGGCAACTTCGATCTTTACCTACTGTTCATAAAGAACAGTATGAGCATTTACAATTTAAAAATAAAATGGGTTTTTTTGTTGGTTTTTTTTTTTTAAGAATAATTTCTACATTTCTGTCAGCCAACTAATTTCAATCACGGCATAATCTAAGAATAAAGCAAATCCTAGCCAAGAGTGGCTACCACGGGACCCTCAAGAGTCAGCCCTGCTGCCATCCTGCAGCAAAGGGGAGCAGCATACCCCAGCTCCTCACATCCCCACACCCCAGCTTGGAACTTGTGGTGAACTCCAGTTGATTTTCTTCAGATTGATTCTCTTTCAGCTTAGGAATGATCCAGTCCTTGTGATGGCTGCACTTCAAGAGAGCAGTGGGGCGGAGAGGCTGCTGGGCAGCATCCAGTGTTAATGGCAGTGCTCCGTGATATCCACAACAACTGCCTTTTTCCAGCTGAAGAAGAAATAGCCCGTCCCTGCCCCTGCCGCCACGGCTATGCAGAGGTATCCGTTGTATGTCATGAAGATCAGCATGAGGAAGTAACTGACCACGACTTGAATGATGTGCAGTACAGTCTGCAGGAGGTGAGGGAAGCTCAGCATCTGCTGCCTGAGAACACAAAACCCAAAGAACAGTCAGCATCCACGAGACAAAGGCAGGAAAAGGCACATCCCTGAAGAGAAAACTTAGCTCTTAGGCTGACAGGATGCCAAGGTGGGCATGAAATGGCAGAGAAGATAACAAAGAAGGCTGGACATAGACTTCTGCATGCATCTGTTGCTTGTAACTGTGTTTTTCCCCACAGAGCTGACTTGATAACAAAGAAAGCATGGTACTTGCTTGGAGGACAAAACTTTTAGCTGAGAAATGGACTTCTACAAGCTTATTTTACCCCAACATTTAGTAAGCAGAATGGCTTCTTTTCTAAGCAGAGGCTTTGACTACCTGTCAACAGAAAGATCCTAAGTATTTTCTGTCAGGGTCGCTGCCTGTAAGTCACAAATTCTGTTCCTGGGAACTCCACAAATGTGTTCGTTACTGCTCTGGAAAAAAACCCCAAGCTTATTTGACTCCTTGCTGCTTTTTTCCTGTTGTTCCCCATCCTAAAGGGTGGCCAAGTGACTCAAGCACAGTGTCCTCCAGTGTCAAGCAGTGTTCCAATCTTTGCAGAGAGTGATACTGGCTGCATGAAGTTTTTTCTGTCCCAGTTTTAGCCTTTGTCAGCTGTGGAAGAAGTTTGTCTTAGAATTAAGTGAAATCCTTACCCAACAGTTTTGTGCGTCTCCATCAAGATAGTGCCATTGGGACCTGGCACTGGCATGGAGTTGTATCGAATGCTGACTTGGGATTTACGGAGCAGACACTCTCGAGCAATCTTAAGGCCTTCATAAAACATGGCCAGGAAAAAGACAGCCACAAAAGCACCAGCCATTTCTGACAAAACAAGAAACATTATTGTACTTGTGCAACGAAAGATGTTTGCTTCAAAACATGTCAGAAGAGACACTGTGTGATTCAACAACCCCATCACACTGCACAGGCTATGGCTGTGTGCATGCATGTACAGACAGTAACTGTGAATTTCATCCATACACTAATGGGAGTTTCACCCGTGAATTGAAACCAGCAATCACTGTTGCTAATAAGACCAATCAAATTCTCAAACAATACAAACATCTCTTTTTCTTTCACCCCACAGATGCCATTTAAAAGACTCAATGCAGTGTGCCTGCATATTTTTGACATAAACAGCAAGGTAATACCTGAAACATGAATCAGTTGCAAACTTTTTGTTTGGACTGGACAAAACAGTTTTACTAACCTCCAGGAGTATTGATTATAAGTCCAGAAAACAGCAATGGCACATTCTCATAGCTGAAGTGGAAAGTCATTGCCTGCCCAAAACATAAAGAACATCAAGATGAGCCTGAATAGCTCATCCTGAGATGGAGCTCACAAGAAGATTTAGCAAAGGTTTTTGTATTATGACAAGAACTTAGATCATTTCAGCTGGTTACCAGATAGCCTCGAAGAAGCTCTTCAGTAAATCTAGTGTAATGCACACAAGTGAGACATGGCTAAAGATGCTCCAGGTTCCAGCTGCTTCTAGTGGGCAGCTTTTTTAGGCAGCGTCCCCAGGCAGAAGGCACTGTCCTTCACAGTACATGCTATAGAAAAGTGCCTTCTCCTTGCTTTTGGAGCTCCTTTTCTCTTCAGCATCAGAAGCAGTCAAGGATTGAGGATGTCTCTGTGGAGCTCATCCTTGCCTCCTCATGACTACTCACAGGCTGTGGTACAGGCCACTTTCTTCTCTCCACCCTGATCTCCTGTGAGCTCACATGGATGAGGGCTTGTATAGCTGAATCCTCTGGTCCCATCCTGCACCATGCCAGTAGACTACTGTCTCTCTACAGAAAAGTGCCATATCCTATGGGAAATAGAGGCCTAAATACAGGTACAACAAGGAGTGTGTGTATATATATATATATATATATATATATATAAAAGGCAGCACCACAGCTTCCCCTGGGTGAAAATAAGGGCTCCTGAACCTGCACAGTAAACAATCTGGGAAGCTCTGATCCCCCAGCCAGCTAGAGCACATATAATCTTTCCATCCAGGTAAATACACTGCAGTTTAGCAGGTCTTAACCACAGCTGCATACACTGTTTTCACATGTAAAGTACTCACTAATCTAGAGGAAATTCTCTTTGAACTCCTCTCATTGCTTAATTAAGGTTATTTGCTAAAGATCAGAATTATGATTAATTTTAGTATCCATAAGAATCAGCAGACACTCATTATCCCGAGAAAAAATTACCATATTTTAGAGAGTACTTCAATTTCTTTAATGAATTTAACATTTTTACATTTAAAACAAACCCCACACAGACCAAAGAGCATTACAGCCTTGTTTTATAAACCATAGCTGAAACAGAGCCTGCTACTTGGTGCAAGTGAGGAATGGGAATATGCATACATGAAAAGGGGTTCAGTCTGTTATCTAAGATACTGTACCTATTTACATCCTTCCCTGACAGTTTTATGTGCAATGTTAACTCAGAATCTTGTGCAATCACAGTCTTTAGTTGTAGGGTAAGGCAGGATCCTGTAACTACCCATTGAAGATAAGAGCACTTGACACTTGTAAAGAAACAGCATTTACAGATCAGAGAAAGTCAACATTCAGCTGTTGGATTATATGAAGAGCTTGATAAAGACATCAGTGACAATGCTGGACTGTTAAATTCCACCAGCACTAATGGGCTTTGTACTGGGCCATGTTCACAAAGGGGAAGGCTGTTCTAGTCCTCTTTTCTCCTGCTATGATACTGTTTGCAGTATAAAAAGCAGCAGTGATTCCTGATCCCTTCTTCAGTGCACAGGGCACATAGCTGGCAGGCAAACTTTAACTGAAGGCTTGCAAAATATACTCCTGAGTATATTCCCATTTGAAATGGGAACAGTGTCTCCTCTCTTTTCAAAGTTTAACCACAGTCATGTTTTAATAACCTGAAACTCACTCCAAAAGTATTCAGAAAAGGGAGAAAAAGCTGAAAAAGTCCCTAGAACTGGCTACATACAAACACAGATCCTACAGTCATCTCCATGGGAACTCTGGCCAGGATTTCTGCAAAGCTTCAGTGATGCCAGCATGCACAGGTCTGAACTTGTTTAAATCAAAGCTAGCTAGAGCAGCAGGATTCAGGACCAACACAGCCTTAACACCTGTGTGGCAAAGAGCTCTGGTAGCACTTTGCTCACCAAACTGAGTGCATACTTAAAGTTCAGGAGGAAAAGGGCACAGAGGTTGGTTGCCTGCAGGTCAGCACAATCCATCATACTAGTGTGTGCAATCCTCTCAGTGCTGGTTAAGGCTTCTGCCAACACTAACAGTCTGAAGAACTCCATCCACCTCTGTTTCTTGCAGGAAAATGTTTACTTTGCATTTCTGCCTTTAGCTGGCTACAGAGCAGACACCAGGCTGGCTGCTAGAAAGGTTTGTGCAAGAAAAGACCATTTTGCCAAAGGATGTCCAGCTCTGAAATACATTTCATGTTGCATATCACCTCATGCCACTTCTTTATTCCAGAAGAGCCACAGTGGAGTCTGTATTTTAACTGAATTAATTCATGCTTTCCATAGCTAAGTTTAATTTCCAGTTCTCGTAGCCTTTAAGGTGGCAAGTTACTCTGAACCACAGGCAAGGAAAAGTTTTCTGGTTAATTATGACTTTTCCACTTACCATCATCATCATGTCAGATCCATGACCATGTCCTGGGGCTGCTGTTGGATGGTGATGTTCAGGAGGATGTGTGACTGGCAACATGGAGCTGTTCATGTGATCGTGAGACATCTTTACAACAGAGATGTTCAAAAAGGCACGTAGAATAGTGGGACCCTGAAAAAAAAAAAAAAAGAAGCACTTTTCTAAAAGAATATGGTTTCTCTACTGCTACTGCAAGAGGAAGTACTCTAAGCCACTGAGAACCACTGCCTGCAGATAAACTTCTGGAGCATCCTCACAGTCCTGCACTCTGACTACACAGCAAAGTGAGCAGCACAATTTAAAGGAGGTGTGTCCCTCTGAGCTTTACATCATCATATTGCTGCACCATCCTAAACATTCTTGCCAGAAAGGCAGCCTAATCTGATTGAGGTAGCACATGGGGACAAGTGTTCAGCATAAATGAACATTTCTTATCTGTAAGAGGAAAAAAACACAAGTCTCTTCTCAATTGCAGGCATGCAAGAGGCTAAAATATTGCAAAGCCCCATTTTAAATTGCATATACTAAAGGATCGGGTTACAATATTTCTCTTAATTGACAGTTATGCATTTTATTGGAAACCTGTTTAACAAAGAAATTATGTTAGGTGATACAAGACCTATTACCAGGCAAAGGTCTGCAATAGCCACAGGCAAACCAATTTCATTTCCATGAGCTTTACATTGTCACATCTCCCCTCTAATCACATTACACACAGTGAGAGACACACTCAAAAGGCTGCCAGTTCAAATCCCTAATCTGGTTACTGCAAATCAGGTATGTCTGGACACACTATGTTAAAAATAAAAATACACCTTGTGGCTAGATGTGGACATGGCTTCTGCACTCTCCACATCCCCAGCATAACTTGGGATGGAACAAGGGGCAATTTCTGATGTGAAATGAAAAGTCACCAGGTGGGAACAGCAACAGGAAACAACTTGGTAATACCAGTTAGTCCTGAAACAACAGCATCTGTCAGTGTGACAGAGCCAGGCAAAGGCAACCCTAGTGTAGTCCAGGTGAGATACCACTTGTCCTTACAAGTACTGACACTGTTGTGCTGGACTCTGTCTGGAATATTGTGTACCCTCCCGGTCTAGTCCAGCACTCAGGTAAAACCAAGCGAAATAAAAAACAAAGTACAGTCACTTTATCAAAGTTAAGTGTTTTTTTTTAAAAAAAAGAGGGGAGATGTACTTCCTTCCAGATAAATCATCAGGAGTGTTTGCAACTGGGAAAAAAAAAAAGCTTTTTAAGCTAAAAGACAGTATGGTGTTTGAACAGATAGGTATGAATACATTTAGCTTGGAAAGGGAAAATGAAACTCTAGAAGAAATTTCTAAACTGGAAGCAGCACTGGCAAAAAAAAACCCAAATGGTAAGCAGCTGATGATGGAGCTGGTGTGTGACAGTGACCATATGACACAGCTGGGCAGGAATGGTGGCCCAGAACACAACTGTCAGTGCAGCACTGTCAGGCATCAGTGACCAGGGTGATCTCAAAAGGCTTTGGAGTTAAAAAGAACAATGAGAGAAGTTAAAGATTTGGGGAAGATAAGGAATCAAAGTCAGCAGTGCTGGTGAAGAGAAAGGATTAATACACCCTGCAAACACTGAAATTCAATAGTGTAAGGAAGCACCTGTACACACCCAAATGAGCTGGTACAAGCTACACCAGCAATACACAGCTCAGGTATTTTCTGCATCTCTGTGCAGATGGAGTTTGTAGCCAATCTCCTGTTGTATTAGACAAACCACAATAACTCCCCTGGAAAGTTAACTTGTAATATAATCTGAATGGCACTGGCTAAAAGCAGAATGTACCCCTTGTCCATATTTCTACTAGTATTTTTTAGCTCATTCTGCCCCCAATTTGTGCTTAAATATTAAGACCCGAAAAATGTTCAGGGGAAGGAAAAAACAGAGAGACTAATGCAAGAAGAGCTCACCTGATACAGAAAAGCATTACCAAAGCATATCTGCAGAATAGTGTATTTTCATACAGCGTAGCTTTGAAGATGATACTGTTCCAGAAAGGAAAGCACTAGAACTGATGTTCCAAAATGAAAACACTTGGGAAAGGAAAGAATTCCCTGCCAAGACACACAAACTTCAAATAATTTTTTGCAGCAGGGAAGGAAGAATGGCGGAAGTGCTCTGCACCACGGGATCAAAGATCAGCGTGCTGCAAGAGGAAAGAAGTAATGTTCGAACCTTCCCTCTCACCCAGACAAAAATCTTATCCCCTCCTTCTTTTTTCAGTTGACTGATACATCGCTTTTGCTTTGGATGCAACATTTTTGCTAGTGACTACTGTCCAATTCGATTATTTATTCATTTTAGGATTTCATGCTCCCGCCAAACTCTGCAGATTCCAATACGCTCCACAGGAGCCCTGGCTGTTTAGCAGATTAAAACCTCTCTTCATGGTTGAGTTGTGTCCAACTTCACACTAATTTACCATCACTGGTCTTCAAAAAGGGAGAAACGGGGGGGTATGTTATCTAGGTATTTACTGTGTATTAACAAACAACAAGGTCAAGTATTCCCAAGCGGCTGCATGTGGACGGGCAGGGTCTCAGTACAGGTTACCAAGAGCATGCTTGATGCTCACCCGTGTAGCTCCTTCTTACCCTGCTACACTAGTGCTCCAACACCAAATCCGAGCCCCTACTGCAGTTACCCAACAATGAAAGATATTTTATGAGATCCTGAAAAGGACAGGATATTAAGTAGCATAAGAGGAAATAACCTAGACTGAGCCACTTCAACTGTCTTTTGTGTTACCAATGCATAAATTTCTGTTTAAAAGTAAATCACTTCTAGTGGAACACCCCAGTACAATCAGACTCTGAGTTACAACTTAGGAGGTCTCTACATACGCCTTGGGGTAAAAAACAGTATCTAGGGCAGCAGCAGCAACAGGTTAAGGGCTGTGTAATATTTGAAGCTGTAAATCTCTGGTTTGCTTGCACAGACTCTTAAGAGACAAGCTGACTGACATGGAGCTGACACAGAGAAGGGCACTGTTTTTAACAAGTCTGTCTCCATACCTGGAGGAAAAAAATCCACACACGTAAGTTTCTATTATCGCAAATTCTTTAAATAGGTTTAGTCTTGTACAAACCCAGCACTTCAGCAGCAGGTATTTTTGTCTGAATGGGTGACTTGATCTTTCGACTGCTGTTTGCACAGAGAGGGAGTGGATTCCTGAGCACACCCTGAAAAGGGGATCTGGAGCAGACTGTGGCTGCAGTAGGCTCAGGTATTTTGAAGCATTTGCACAGCTAAAGGGCACAGACCTCATGGTGCACCTGCCTTGATGCATCCAAGGGACACACACACACGGATTTTTTTTTGTACTCTGCAGTAGCCTACCTCATAAGAAAACAAACAGGGTGGGACAGGAGAGAAGAATGAGGAAATTCTCTCCAGGACTTGTTTCTTCCCCTCTCAGTACCTCACCCCAGGTCAGAGGAGCCACAGCCTCCATGTCATGACCCCTCAAATTCATAAGGAAAACAGCAAGACTCAGAACTACACACAGGACTCGTACCTTAAGTCATAGTCTTGGAGCAGGGCTGCCCTCAGCACATAGGTGGGCTCTGGTCAGGTAGAGGTTTGTGTCCCTCCGCTGCAATGCCACCTTGGCAGCTCAGCAAACCAAGCTGGGGCCAGGAGATGTGCAGCCAGGATCTGACAACAAACTGTTAGCTCAAGTTAAGCATTAGGACTTACTTTTACCCTCCACCAACATTTAACTAGTGCTGCTTCATCTCACACATACAAGGAAGCCACGTTCACAACTGCAGGGCACAGAGAAGGGGAGGAACGGTAGGTTTCTGTTGTGCACTGGCAACAGTGGGTTTACAGCAGGTTTACAGCAGGTAAATGAGCTGGACCTGGTGAGATGCCAAAGACAAAACAGTCTCCTCAAGCAGGTCTCTGCCATAAAATGACTGCCATCATACATAACCTCCACCACAGTTTCCCAATCTATTGTTTCTGCCCTGTTAATCCATAATCCGGACACTCCACAGTAAATCACAGTTTTTCCTGTGGCAAACAGCCTTCCAGACATCCAAGGGAGATGCACCTTTTAATGCAGAAACACAGGACATGCAGAAACAGGACAGACTATGGGAAAGATCTACTGAGCTCCAAGAAAGTACTTTACAAATTAGTTCGGTATGAGACATGGTGTGCAAACAGAGCTTCCTTAAAGTCACATTCAAAAGGAATGAAGCCCCTTTCCAAATCAGAAGTCTAACAGGATTAACAGCAGACCCCCAACATCCCTTAGAGCAGCAAACCCTTCCTTTCAAAACAGTGCCTCATCTTTCCCACACCAGTTCTAAAAAAGCAAGAAATAAAACTAATTCCAGTGGCTCTGCCCAGAAGGACCAGAGCCTTAAAAAGCACCTCTTCAGCCTCCTTTACACTATTTACTCATTCAACAGAGACGGTGCTGGCTGCAGTGGCCCGGCGTGCAGCAGCAGCAAGCACGACAGCCGACAGGGCTGCCTCCTGCACGGAAACCTCCAAACTCGTCTCAACAGAGCTGGAGTGATTCTTATGTAGGGTCTCTCCAACAACACTCCTAAGGTTGAGAGAGGAGGTCCCTCTCTTCTCCTGAAGAAGACCTAGTAAAGTTTACTAAGAATTAAAATTAAAGCTCTTGAGAGAAATCCAAAGGAAAAAAAGATTAAAAATAGCAAGTTGGAAAGGCAAAGATCTCTTGCTTGCACATCACGTATGTCTCAGTCCTGCATAACACAAAGGAATCCTACATATAAAACACATGAGTCATGAAAAAGGCAACCAAAAGTTATCAGTGCTCTACTTACAGAAGTCCAGCTGGCAGACTATTTGAGCTCCACTGGCTCTGAGCTTGTGGTCTCACGCCCAATTTTTTTTTTTTTTTTTTCTTTTTAAAGTGCTGTAAATGGAGATGGGAGGGGAAGCAGGGAGTCTGCAGACACTACAGCACTGTTCACTGGCTCTAACTGTGGTCTCCACTGAATGGTCTGAGCTAGCCATCATGAGACTTAAGCACTGCTTCTAGTTTACTCAATTTCCTGGCAAACTTGAAAACTTTAACTGCTTCCTTTCTAAAGGGGTGGACTTGCTGTGATTCCTCCAGGATCCCAGACTTAGGTCTAGAGCTGCTTAAAGACACAGCTGAGGGACAGACCAATTCTATCTGTAGGAGTATTCAGCACTGGCAGCCAGAGCCTTCCTGGGTCAAGCTACAGAGACACACTTTAAAGATATGGAAAAAAATAGATCATTATTCAGTAATATAATATAATGTGTTTTACAGATACACACTGCTGCTCTCCAATGCCAGAATTCCCCTTGGAGCTCTCCCAAGCAGCATCAGCAACCTCAGGCTGGAACTCAGACACATAAGGAAGGACTGTGCTGTGCCCAGCACGCCTCTTAGTTGCACACCTTTGTTTTTCCCTTGCACAGCTCCTGAAGAAGGAGCTCTTAGTGCTATATTAAGAATTTAAGGGAAGTTTGCAAGGTCACAGAAGAACTGTGTGTCTTTGCCTGGTACTGTGTCACCATCTTAGAGTCCCAATCAAAAGCTTTTACCAGAAGTTTAAGGCTTCCTAAAAGCTCAACACATGAAGAAGGCGTTTGGGTAAGGAGCAAGAAAGAAAAGGGAATGGCTTGGGAGAGGAGCTCCAATACATCTGGAGACTTAGGTTGTCAGTCTGCATTAGTTTGTATTTCCTGGGTTTTGTCCATGACCAGAGAAGCCTGCAAATTGATTCAGCCCCGATCAGCAGAGCCAAGCAGAAAAACAGTGTGACAGAGGGCACATTCTCCCTCTCCACCTGTAAGTGGGATACAGCTGAACTATTTATATACAGATGGGTTTCAGAAGCTTTTGAAAGAAGGCAGCAGGTACTGTGAAAGATGTCCAGCTTGAGTTGCCAGAGGGTAGAGTGCAGGGAGTGGGGAATGATAGGCAAATAAAAAGAGCTGAGCAGGGCTACAGACAACATTTTGTGTTCAGCTTTGAAAGAGGACAATGTCTGGGCAGACTGTGACATGCAGAGATGGAAGCTGTCAGCAGGGATGTTAGAAGGGAGACACAGTCAAGCTGGTAGCAGCATGTAGAGACCAGCTCTTCGGCAGCTATCATGCATAATGCAAGCAGAAGAATGGGATTTTAAAAACAACCTACAGGGCTGTTAGTTTTTCATGAAGGGAGAAATCCAGGGAGGAGAACTGATTCTTATTCTCAGTCATGAGCTCCATCAAGGATCCCAGGCTGGAACCCTTACAGCAGTCGTGGATGCTGAAAGTGACAGCAGAGAACAAGGCATATCAAAAACACTCTGTTGTTCGTGAGCCATGTCACAACTGAGATAGACCCTGACAAACCCTAAAGGCAGGATACAGGGAGAGTGTGAAGCAAAGTCTCTTGTCACCCATGCAGGGAGATTTGGGGGTGAAGGATTAAGCCAGGGCTCAGTTCATGTTCTCTACAGATCACACAGCTGGGGCCAATAATCACTCTCTGCGAGTATGTGCCGCTTCCTCAGTGCCCAGGAGAACTCATGGGTCTTTGGCCCTCTGGGTCTTTGAAAAGATCTCAAGAGAGCCCTGCCAAGTAGAGTAATTTTGCTGTTTTGTCACACTTATCTGAGCTGCAAGCCACTGCCACCATCTGCTTATTTTATTCTTATTGAATCCTTTTCTTTCCCATACTTCCCACTGTACCGATACATGCTTGTCCCTCTCATTATAGGGCTCCTTATCCCAAGAGACAATCTGCACCCTCTGCATGTAATGATCACCAAGCACTCATGGACATAGAAAAAAAAAAAAAAAAAAAAAAAAAAAAAAAATGAAGTGCTGGCTCACACAGGCTTCCTGGAGTTACACAACATTATTTGGCAGCTTGGCACAGTTATATACATTAAACCAGCTTTTAATTAAGATGAAGAATAAAAGAAGTTGATAAAGTTGAAAAAGGGTTCAACCCTGAAGGTCCTGTCCTTTGCTTTGAAACAAAGCAACACTAAGCTATAGAACTAAGGCAAAGCTGGTTGCATTTACTTAGCACAATTCCCATTACTAGAGGAGGGGCCAGAGCTCTTCCTCTCAGCATGGCCACAATCACGTCCCTTTGATGGAGTTTATTTTCATAGCAAACTTGTCTGGTCATCTTCTGTTAGAGACCCTGCTTGATCTACTTCCCTAGAAGGGGATGGTCATTCCTCATCTTGCAACTTCTGCAGACTCCTCAGGAAATCACTGAAATCTTTGAACAAGAAAAAATACCAAACCAACTAAGGACAGACTGTTCTTTACAGGACAATGCACTGAACTTCATGAAGCGAAACACCATTGCCAGCCCATGTCATTACTAATGGGCCCAATGAAGTGAAAGGCAGCAGAAAACAACCCTGCAGAGCAGAACACCTAAGACTGTAAGACTGATAACAGTGGAGGAAAGGCTGAGAAATGCTGGCAACAGTGTATACCGATGGAGAAAATAGTGGTGAGTTAGGTAGGCAGAGCAACAGACTCCTCTCCTGACAAGCTTTTTGCTCAGCCATTCTGAAACTGCAGGTGATGGAAAAGCAATAAATGCAGGATAGTCCTGAGAAGCACAGCAAAACTGCAGAGTCCTTGCCAACGTTCTCCTGGCTGTAACCTCATTTCTGCTAGAGAAGTCTGACACAGCCCAGGTTCAACCATGTGGAATGCACACAAACCTTTGCATTGAGATCCAAGAGTGATCTGCTACTATCTCACAGAGGGTCCCAAACTCCCAATCAAGCTACAACTTGGCAGTTAAGACTAGATGACTGTTGTACATCCCTTCCAACTTAACTACCTGATCCTACCCTACCCTGCCCTCCACCCTCCGCTGGACACCTATCAATCCCTGCCTCAGCAGAACAGGATTACTTCTGCAATGACCACATCAACCTTTACCAAGAGGTGACAGAACCAATGCTGTCACTTCTTGGTTTGTCTTTTTCTCACAAAGTCTAGGTCAGCAGTGCAGGGGGGACTACATCAGCACAGCAATCAGTAGAAACTCCCCTCATCTACAAGAGAATACTGGACACATTCCCATGCAGATTTGTGAACATTATTGACACAAGAGCTGCAATTTTAGAGACCCATCCATGCCGCCTCCAACCCCTGGGCCAAATCTTGGGGTCACCACCTACACATGCTCTCCAGGCTGCCTTACTCTTGACAGGATGTGAGACAGTAACACCATCTCTTCAGCACCGCAGCAACAAGCTGCTTCTTACCATCCCCTATACAGTGCTAGAAGTTTAAATGTTTTTGAAGGTGCACAATAGGTTTTGGGGCTCAGAATACGGCATCTGTACATGTGACTAGATCATTTTCATGTCATTCCAAATACAACACAGTCCTTGCCCTGACAAATGCACAAGGGTAGGAAGGGCATGATACAAGGAGTGATGCTGGAATTGGATCTGGAAGCTCCTGTTCACCACAGGATACAGGCTTGCAAACTGCAACCTAGTGTTTGTCTGTTTTGCAGACATTGCTGAGAGCACACCTGTTGTGGAAGTGTGGCACAAGGGAGTTATTTTTCGGTGATGGACAGATGCTAAAAGCTGTCATGGGGCTGAGAATGGTTGGTGAACTGTGTGAGCACAGCTCTTATCCACACAAAGGACAGCCAGGCAGGACACAGCAAACAAGTTCTGGAAAAAGTGATGTCATAAATGACGTGAACTGAAGTATTCTACTATACCAGCAATAACTTGTTACCATCCTGATAATACATGAGTACTTTCAACCTAAGTGAACCCAAATGAACCTGCAGTCCCCAGTGGGACACTTTCAAAGGATCTGTGCATATTCCACCTTTGGCCATCTTTGACAATCCCAACCAGAGAGACTATTATAAGCTGAGCAAAAGTGCAGTTCAGGGAACAAAGCATGGTTCTCTTGGCCCAGAGCCACCCACCTGCTGACCAGAAGCAGAAGGCCAGGAACAGACATGTCAACCACAAGTTGTTTTTTTTTTACTGCTAACAAACACCAATGGACATTATAGTCAGTATTCAGAAAGGTAAGATGCTACATCAGCAGACAGTGAACTCAAATGCTGACAAGATGATACCAATTAAAAAGTGATTAGGATCTCTTCAGTAGTTCAGAGTTTGCCTGTTCATCTCCAAGTCACAAAACTTTCCCCTTTTTCACGTTGCTGCTCCAGCTACAACAGAATAGCACCCACCTCCAGCCAGCTCTTCTCACTGGGCACAGAAAACAAGGTCATGCAAGTGTCATACTGTATGCCAAAGCCAAAGCAGATGAGTTCTGCAGCAGGCCTGTGGCTTTTGCACTCAGAAGAAGCAACTTGCCATGCTCAAGCCCATCACAAGCACAATTTCTTCCGCTCTCTACGTGTGGTATTTCCCCCCTCCCTGTTTTTACTTCTCTACTTCTTTCACCACTAGCCTTTGGGATCCTTGCTCTGCACTGTTTATTGTTCTGTTTCTGTCTAGCCAGTTG